AAATCTCTCCAAATTAAAAAATAATAGTAATGATCAATAGAACTAAATAAAATAATTCTTTTTTTTTTTTTTTTTGAGAGGTTTTCGCTAAAGGACGCGTGCGCTCACCAGACAGACAGAGAGAGACATAGAGACAGAAAGCGAGAAATCACCCCCCAGAGGGGATGGTCACGCTGCAATCCGTTCTCCTCCGTTCTCCTCTCGGGATCTTGGGCATGCAAGCACACGCGCCCGGCATGAGTTTTAAGCCACTGGGTCCAGGACGCGACTACGTGGGAGTCCAGGGACAGCCATTACACTAACTGCTGGTTCCCGAGGATGGTAGACTTTAATTATCACTATATGATTTTGATGGGAAATTGTGTCTTTTTTCAAAAGGGACATATTTTATTATAATGTACAAAATTTGAAAAGTTATTTTGTTTAAAGTTTAATATTCTTTTTTCAGCAGCTTTTATAAATACTTATTTCTATGATACTGTTTCCAAGTATACTTGCATCACTTTTATTTTGAGAGTTCAATTTTGAAGAACAAAATGTTAAAATTAAGTAGTCCTTTTCAGAACCTACCATGGGAAGGTCAAACAATTTTAATTTAAATTGGAAATGATGCTCTAGATCTCTGTACCAAGACACTTTAGACCATAACCAACCCAAATATACTATGCCCTTATAAAAATCTGAGAAAATCAATAAAAAAATTATTTACTGTTCATGACTAAAAGTGAAGAACATTATTTTACTGATTTTGTTGATCAGATTAATTTTAGAAGTAAGTAAACTAATCTTAAGAAATTGTGGAAACACAATATTATAATCATTTATAACACATGTAGCAATAATTGAGCAAGTAGAAATTCAAACTGTAAGTTTTGTGGACCTTACTTTCAATGTAATAGCACAGGACTTCTGTATTTCATAGAAATGAAATTATTCTGAAAATATCATTATCTTTTAGTTTTGACAGACAGACCTCCACCCATAATTCTGCAAGGCCCAGCCAACCAAACACTAGCAGTAGATGGTACAGCGTTACTGAAATGCAAAGCCACTGGTGACCCTCTTCCTGTGATTAGCTGGTTAAAGGAGGGATTCACTTTTCTGGGTAGAGATCCAAGAACAACCATACTAGAACAAGGAACACTGCAGATTAAGAATTTACGGGTAAGTGATATTTGACTTGCATGTTAGTTCATTTCAACTTAAGTACTGGTCTAAAGAAAACCTGTGTGCTTAACTTAAATCTTAATATTTCAGTATAAATGCTGTATATTTTGTAAGAGGGCATGTTATCTTTATATTAAAAAAAATAAGTTAAAATTATATGGAAGGTCTTTGTTCTTATGCTATTTGTAAGTTCATAAGAGAACGAGAAACTTTTTACTCCTGCATACCATCCCAAGTTTTCAATCAATGAACATAGAAGTTTAAACACACTAAATTAGTGATAGTAGTATAATTTGAAAGTGACAAATGCTTTTGATTTACTCTTACTAGCAAAAGAAGATTGTGGGAAAATATAGATACACTGGCTAGGCCAAACCCTGTGTGGAAAAAATAGTTACCACTGAGTACATAGGCAGGTTTTTAGTTAGTTGGTGGTAACATTCAGATCCTTGCAGCTACTGGACCTCAACTTTTGCTGGCTGTCATCTGTAGGCTGCCTTAGAGATAGTCTCCTGCCATATAGACATTCCTGATGCATTTGTTTGCTTCCTTTAAATGGGCATTGACACCCTATATAACAAAATCACAAATGTGACATCTTAATCACCTTGAGATACTCTACTGACCAGAAACAAATGGACAGATTCTATATATACTCCAAGGGAGGGATTGCACAAGGCATGAAGATCAGCAAGATGTTAGGCACTAGGCTACCTGTCTTCAACCACATATGGTTAACTCCCCCTCAACACTACCGGCACCACCATGGGGCAAGCTCTCTGTCAAAGCTGGAGAGACATCAAAATCAAAATAATCATAAAATTGGGGATGGGAACCAGAGCTAAGATAGCTGATACAATAGTACATAAAGAAAAATCAATGAAAGTGATTCCTTGGAAAAGCAATTAGAAGAATCTGTTTTTTACATAGAAATGGGAGCCAAGATAAAAAAAAAAAAAGAATGTTGATTATTGGTGAATTTATTTTCCTATCCAGAAGTTGGAGAGCATCTAAAATCTTTTTGTTGACAATATTTCCAATAATTATAAAATTGGGGATGGGAACCAGAGCTAAGATAGCTGATACAATAGTACATAAAGAAAAATCAATGAAAGTGATTCCTTGGAAAAGCAATTAGAAGAATCTGTTTTTTACATAGAAATGGGAGCCAAGATAAAAAAAAAAAAAAGAATGTTGATTATTGGTGAATTTATTTTCCTATCCAGAAGTTGGAGAGCATCTAAAATCTTTTTGTTGACAATATTTCCAATAATTATGATTTGAAGGATTCATTTTCTGCTGGGAATATAATTATAACTACATGTTTATCAAGTTGTTCCATTGTTTATCAGTATACCATACAAATACCTGTAGCAAAAGGAAGAAGAATGACAATTTTTGTGGCATTCACACATACATATAAATAATATCTTAATTCACCAGTACAATTTATATATAGATATAGATATAGATATTAATCATTTTTAAGCTTCAATTTGAGACAGACACTAATGGCATAAAAGGAATAGTACCAAGTTAAAAGAAAAATACAAATTCAGATTTTTTTGGCTTGCCTTTATTGATTATAAATTAATAGTTCACCTTCCTTTAACAAATTGGAAGTTATTAAAAAATTAATGCCAATTTTCTTTGCATAAACACTTCAAATGCACACTTTGGACTAAAGGCAGATTGGGGCCATGAGAGTTAATTCATTTTCACTGTATCACTGATTTACAGGGTGTGTTTGAGTAGTGATCCCTGGTAGTGTTTGAAAGAAGCAATTAAAGGTGGGTGCTTGATGATGTCAAACAAATTTTGAGCCCTCTGACAGGTTTCTGAGGAGTCTCCGTGAGATACCAGCTCTGAAGGGCTCGTCTGCAGCCATCTGCACTAGGAGCAAAGTAGGCAGTGCAGTGTGCCAGCACATTAATCTCTTTCCAAAGCAATTGCTTAAAGATAAAAGGATGAGGATGGAAAAGATGTGAAGCACTTCTGACCAGAAAAGACATTATTTAAACTTAAAGGAATAAAAAGGAATGTGGTGATGATGGTGACACAAGAGTGAGTTTCAGCAACGAGAATCAGGCTTTTGATATCACTTTTGATAAACTCCAAAATGAAAACCTTATTCTTGTTCTTTTTCTGGAAGCTGTCTTTAACGGAAGATAAAAATGGGTTTTACATTGCTTCACTCGTGCAGTCAAGAGAGGGTTTCTGTAGGTCATATTCCTTTGTGTCTCACTATTTCTTTTTTAGTACCTAATGTAAGGGAAAAAATAACATGATGAATATTGTGTTCTCATAGTCCAGCTAATTGGTAACTGAATCTGTACCTTTAGAGAACTAGACTGTTCCAATACTCATTAAAACATACCTACGATGGCTAATGTCAGACTTGTATCTCCACACAGTGACAAGGAGATGCAGTTAAGAAGCATTACCTACACACTCTTCTTTTAGCATTTGCACATAATAAAAAGTGCTACACTTTAGTTCAACAGCTATAATAAAATGCAAATTCTTTTACTCTTTCACAGACCATATTCAAATGAACATCCCATTAAAATCCAACCTTGGCTCATTATATTTAGTTTGTGAGTGATGCTTCTTAAGGCAAAGATTTCTAATGACTATAATGCGTGCTCAGCCACATTTGAAAAGCTGGCTCTTTCTACAATGGCTGTCCTCATCATCCCTCTGTGCAATAGAAGACCATTGTACAGAGATAATATGACAAAGAACGATGTGCCAGAGCTCTTCGGAAACTTAAGTTAAAATACATAATGACATTTAAAATCAATTAAAATGGCAGAACTGCAGTAACATCCATGTGCTGACGATTTGCCTGAAATCAATTGTGAAAGCTTGCATCATCAATACGCTTACATCTTGAACCCAGCAGACAGAACATTCCATGCACTTCTGCATTTCATCAACAATTAGACTCATGTTCTTCACAGGATTTTAATTTTACACCTTCTGCCTTGCCTTATTCTCTTTTTTCACCAGTTTTTCTCACCAGTCTCTCTTTCTTGCACCCCTGAACTAAAGCAAATGAATGTTATTTACATTGTAAACCAAGAGGGCTCAAACACAGTGAGGATCTTTCATTCTTTTTAGGGCTTTTTTTCAAGGTATGATATAGAAACTTCTGCTGTTTTCATTTATAAAACAGAAATCTTGATTGTACTATCAATGTTTCCAAAAAAATCTTTTGCCACTCTTCAGTGAATAGGGAAAACATTTTAAATGATCATTGAGGTGGAGGTTTTCAAGTATGCTTTAGAAAAGTTATGTTATTTGATTATTTTCAGCTTTAAATTGCAGTGTCTCCATAGATATGGTTTGTTTGTTTTTAGCAGGACTTTATTTTAACCACTGTTACACTGCTGTGATTTACATGTAAGAGAGTACTGTTCACATTAATGGGAAAATTTTAGTTTTCCTTTTATTCTTTTTATATTTTTCTTCTTCCCTCTTCTTCTCATCTTTCAAAAGAAAGGCAACATAGTCCCAGATTATGTCATTGCTTATTCACTCCTGGGTACATTTTATCCTTTGAAATATAATTTATTAGAGACAGAAAGGGCAGTTTTGTGTTACTGATTCTCTGTAGATTATAGATTTCTGAGTAAATTCGGTCCTGAGTTGTCTCTATCTATCCTTGACAGAGTGAAACCTTACAATAAATTGAAGTTAAGCGATACAGAGTATTACTATGAGGCAAGAGAGACAAATAGCATTCATCAGACAAATAACATTTAGTTGTAGAAATATAATCTTTTTAAAGAAAAACCTTTGACTCAATCTTCTAACAGTATAGGAGCTTGTTTTACTAGTATATGTAGACATATAATTGACTCTAATGCATAATTTAGATAGCAGAATGATTATCTCTTATTTTAGAAATGAAATATCCCCAGTTGAGATTGAGTAATTATTCCATAAGGCGACGAAAACAATTCAATATTTGTGGGCAAATGTAAATAAATAAATAAATAAATAAATAAAAATGATTTAAACAATTCAATTCTCTTTTTCCATGCATGCTAGCTTTCTGATACTGGCACATATACTTGCGTGGCTACAAGTTCAAGTGGGGAGACTTCTTGGAGTGCAGTGCTGGATGTGACAGGTGAGTTCTTTGTGCACTTTTTTAGCAGCACGAATCTTGAGCCCCTTTTATTGATAGCTCATTACCAAATAACAACAAAAGATCACGATTTTAAATTTGCCTCATGTAACTCTCCGTCTTTACACTCAATGACACATTTTAATTTCTGCAAGAGTTGGCACATGACATTGCATTTGTGGAGTTTAATGCATTTGTTCTCCCTAACCTTGTTATTTTATTTCTTCTGAAGTGCAAGCAACTCCAGTAGTCATGTGTGAAAGTAAATCTTACCTTAACAAGGGGGACTCAGAAAGTTCATGGAAAAATGGAATTAAAGTATGAATTTATTGTAAGGCAAAACATTTTGAAATTTATTTTTTCATACTCTTTTCTTCTCAAACATTTTAAAGACTGCTTATATTATTAACATATTGGAGAGTAAAGTATGATATTCTTCTGATTCATGGAGAAAAAATGCTCGCCGCCTAGGTCAACGCCTTTAATAGACCATTTTCTCCTTTAAGCATGATTGCCAGTTTATACAGTCAGGAATGACTTTTATTTCTGTCTGCCCTGTACAGAATCTGGAGCAACAATCAGTAAAAATTATGATTTAAATGACCTGCCAGGGCCACCGTCCAAACCGCAGGTCACTGATGTGACTAAGAACAGTGTCACCTTGTCCTGGCAACCAGGTACCCCTGGAACTCTTCCAGCAAGTGCATATATCATTGAGGCTTTCAGGTATGGGAAGATTCTTTTTTGTCTCCATTGAGTTTTGGTATCAGCTCCTATATCTTGAAACGTCACCCAAGCTTTTCTGTTGTTTTATTTTGAGAACATATTCAGTCAATGCATTTTTTAAATGTACCTTTTGTATTTGACTTTACTCAAGAACAGCTCTTATTAGAAAAAAATACCTTGATTATAAATGTAATATGTATTAGCTTTGCTTAGGTCTGTAGAGATCTAGTTCTTTATCCTGAGTATTATAGGGGTTTAAGATGAGCATTTAGGCATTAGAACTAGGCAGAAAATTAAAAAAAAAAAATCACAGGTACTTTTTAAAGTTGTGCAATATTTATTGAGTCATGGGGTACTAAAATTTTGAATCCTAATAAATAGATCAGAATTTAAAATAATTTCAATACTTTCAATATTTTCATGTATAATACATCTATTGGATATGTGCAAAAGAAAATTTAAAACCACAACTAAGAAACTGTTTCCATGAACTTTAAATTGTTGAAAGACAAGAATGTTTCCCTGTATTACATGAAATAATTGTCATCAATTTAAAGATGCACACTATAAATCAGCAAATATTATTATAAATTTTTACAAGGATTGATTAAATATACAAATGAGAAAGTATGTTTTCATATTCAGGTTCTAGGGGTTTCTATTTGACATTATTAAGTTTAAATGATAGTTTTGTTCTTTGTAAACATTAGGATAAATCATCGCTTTCGTTTTAGGCTTCTCTCATCTATATTGAAGGTAACGACAGATACTTAGTTTCAAATTTCTAACTCCTAGTTGTTATAATTTTTATGCTTGGAGGCTTTAAAACATCAGAAAAATAAACAGACAGCCCTGAAAGTCGCATTTTCTCCTCATGCTGACCTAAGGTAGCATTTGAAAAAGACAAAGTGTGCTAAAATGCATCCACCTGTGGCCACTGTAAAGGGGGCCACACAAACGGATGCAGAGCTATTTCATTATTCTGAGATTAGAAGTCACAATACTGTGTAATGTGCAATTTTATTAAAAATGTAACCAAGGGAAAATATTCATCACATGCTTCCTTTCTTCTTTTACAGATATGTAGTTTTAGAAGGCTCTATTATAATATTGCATGTGGAATTGATGCAAAGAAAACACACCTTATAACAGGAAAATGTGTTGGCATAATTTACTCTGTAGTCCATTTATTCTTTCTGCAGGTTAATTCTTTTCAAGGTATATATATACATGCATTTACGAGGACCATACTTACTGTATAAACTTGATGTTGTGATCTTGGCCTCTGTTCCTTTTACAGGTATTCATTTAGTGGGCTGCTGTGCATTAGCAAAGGGCTGTCACATCTCCTGGGCTGAGTTTAATTTTGTTGTGCATGGCACTTCCGTTAGGTGGGCTCGGCTTTGTTGTTGAATAAACTGAAACCATCCAAATGTTTCATTTATTGGGCTGAACACTTCAAGTGTTGTGTGTGTGTGTGTTGAATTTTTCAGCCATTAACCTTTGTCATTGATACCCAACTCCATTCCCAATATCCAATGGCTCTTCTTTAAATGAAATGTCTGTTCCTGTTGCAGCCAATCTGTGAGCAATAGCTGGCAAACCGTGGCAAACCATGTAAAGACCACCCTCTACACTGTGAGAGGACTGCGGCCCAATACCATCTACTTATTCATGGTCAGAGCCATCAATCCCCAAGGTCTCAGTGACCCAAGCCCTATGTCAGATCCTGTGCGCACACAAGGTAATTTCAACAGCTCTAAACCTGACTGCTTCTACAGGGAGACATCAAAAAATATTTAAGAATGAGTAGATTTAGCTCAGTGGTACAGCTATTACTTGCTGCCCAGATGTTACTGAATCCACATGAAAGATCATGAGTCTGACTTTCAGCCAACCAGTAAACGCCAGGAGTGAGTGCCCGCCATCCTGGTTGGCTGTATGTGTGTGAGGAAGTGGAGAAAGGATCATGGCATGGCACCACATGTTGTTTCCTGTGTGTGTGTGTGTGTGTGTGTGTGTGTGTGTGTCTGTGTTTCTCTTACTTTCATAAAAGAAATTAATAAGCTTTTTTTTTTTTAAAAAAAAAGGACAAGTGGGATGCATAAGGTAAAGTAAATTTGTCTGTGTAGCTTTTTATAATGATTACTAGGCTTTATCCAGTAAAGCAGAAGGAAGCTTGCTGTTTACCTGGGCATGTTGTGTTCCCTTCCCGGAGTTTTACAGGTTGGTTCAATAAAATATAAATGAAATGATTACATAAAGCTACAGAGTAAATATGAATTCACTCTCTTAGATTAGGAAAGTATAGACTTCACTGTATTTAAAATAGAGAAAAATGTTTCTCCTTTGAAATTTATTCACTATAGCAAAGTTTTTCAAAATAGGATCTTTAATGAATAGAGGTACACAAATTATTTTCTATTGTCCAATGTTCTAGTCCTTTCCATTGCTAATATTAGAAAATATCTGAGTCTGGGTAATGTATGAGAATAGATGTTTATTCAGCTCAAGGTCTGAAGGCTAAGATCCAAGGTCACAGCTGGTGGAGATCTGGTAAGGGTTTTTCTATTGGTAGGTCCCAATGCCATGCAAGTCATCATATCATGAGAACACTAATATGCATCTCTGTAGCCACTACTTTCTGTCTGTTTCATTCCCTTTTATTATAAGCCCACCGGGAGTCAATCATGGAAGCCCCCACTTGATCCCATGACCTTAATCCTGATCGTCTTCCAAAGGCTCTAACTTCCAACATCATCATCAGATTGTTTTTGTTTTTGCTTTTAAGATTTTGCTACAGGGGGAACCAGCAGTTAGAGTAATGGCTATGTCGCTGGACTCCCACGTAGTCCACTGCGGTTCACGACTCGGACCCGGTGGCTTAAAACTCACGCCAGGCATGTGTGCGTGCATGCCCAAGATCCCAAGAGGAGAGTGGAGAAGGGATTGCTGCGTGACCATACCCCCTGGGTGGTGATTTCTCGCTTTCTGTCTCTCTGTCTCTCTCTGTCTGTCTGGCAAGCTCACACGCCCTATAGTGAAATCCTCTCAAAAAAAAAAAAAAAAGATTTTGCTACAGGGTGCATTCTCTAGCCAGAGTGAGACAGAGAGAAGAAAAGTAAAAACAAAACAAAAACAAAAACACAAAAACCCACTTGCCTCCACGGGAAATGGCCACACTATTGTCCCTTCTCCTCTCCAGATTTTGGGCACACAGGTGCAGGTGCCCAGCATGATTTTCAGGCTACCAAATCTGGGATTCGAACTGTGCAGTTGGACATTCGGGATCCAACGCCTTAACCTCCATCACAACTGCGGGCCCCAGATTAAGTTTTTACTCTCTTAATTCTGCCACAATGAGATCTCAACACATGAATATTTAGGGGCACTCAAGCCATAGCATTCAGGAATTCTGTTTTCATAGTCCAGTGGTTCTCAAAGTGTGGCTCTCAGGCCAGCAGCAGCAGCAGCACCTGTCTCTGTTAGAAACAGACTGTCGGGCTCCAGCTCAAAGGCTCTGGGTAGGAGGGCTGAGGCAGCGTCTTTCCTAACATATGCTCAGGTGATGCTCATGCTTAAATTTAACAACCACTGATATAATGTCTTTTATTAGATCAGATGTTTATAAGAGCAACTTATTTCAAAATTTAGTAACTCAAGAGCTCTTTCAGAGGCATGCAATATTTTGGACAAAACAGAAAATAAAATATGCTTTCAAAATGGAGGATTTTCTCATCTTTAGTTACTTCCCTTTTCAAATTAATTCTGACATTTAGTGTGTAGTGCTACATGATAGACTCTCTTCCTATGAATGGGTGAAAGGAATTAATCAAATAGAAATGGTGACTTTATTATTTGTTATAGCTTCTTTCCCACCAAGTTCCCACAAAAGGGTTAATTATTTCTTATTTGTGAAAGCCTTTGAACAAGATATAATTTAACATAGTATTTTTATGCTACACAAAGCACCATACAGCCATAAAATATTATTATAATTACAATGTAGTTCAGTGATAGTAACTAGCGTGTGATTATAACAGAGAAGGGTGCCTTAAAGGAATCAAGTGAAATAAAGTCACCACGTGACTTTGTAACGTTGCTGACATGATGACAGTCAAGGGAGGAGGGAATGCCACTTCCCTATTGTTCTCTATGCAGTAATGTGATTAATTTTCCACGATGATAAAGGGCCTGTAGGTAAAGAACCTGTCTCAGGAGAAGGGGAAAGCACAACAAGGAATTTGAAAACCTGAAACTAGTTATATTTTACCTTCCCTACCTAGATCCAATTGCTTTTAGTGTGTCTGAATTTAACGAGAAAATTAAATTATCGAACTTGAAATGGAGGAGCTATACAATTTTATGTCAAGAAATCATGGTACCTAGTTGGTTTATACCTGTGAGGGTAGAAATAGATTTTGTGTGTAGCTGCAATGTAAGGTGGAGAGATAACAGAATGAGAAGACTTTGTGTGTGATTAAATCCGGCAGAGCTTTCTGATCATTCAATAACTATGCCAGTCACTAAATCTTCACTCATAAAACAACTCCTGGTGAAAAGGTCAAAAACGATGAATGAAAAGTTGTTTGTGATCTGGTTTGTTCCAGTTGAGAGACTATATAGAGCAAAAGACTTATGTTCTCTTAACAGATATTTAATAGGAAAACTCATGTTTTGTGTCTGAACGTCAGAATCATTTTTTTGATATCACACGTTCAGCAGTTTTGCAATCTGCAAAGCACTTTTTGTCAAAGGAGGTGTTGCTGTGGGAGTTCTTATTTTGTGAATGTATTAAATACCACAGAATCTAGAACTTTTTTCATTTCATTAGGCTACAATACTTACACTGTAAACAATATAGGTGACCATTTATGTCAGCAGCAATTAAAATTCTTCACATAAAAGGACTTTGTTTAAATAAGAAAAAACTTGGTTGTGCTGTTTGTGTTAAGGATTTTTTTTAAGTGAATTGGAAAAAAAATACCTGTATTTTTTTTGATTCTTGATGTCCCAGTTTTAGTTAATATGCCTAGTTTAAGTTATAGCTGAGATATGCACTTGGAAAAAATAAAGAATTTAGCATATGGACTGAAAAGTAGAAAAAGAAAATTAGATTAAAAAAATAAGTTTTTTTTTTATTTTTTAAAAGATGTTTGCTATAGGCCCCATGAGCTTAGTAGAAAGAGAGAGACAAAAAGCAAGTAATCCCCCCACAGTGGAGATGACCAAGCCAAATTTCCTTCTCCTCCATTTTCCTCTTGGGATTTTGGGTATGCACACACACACATACCTGGCATCAGTTTTAAGCCACCAGATCAAGGATTTGAACTGTGGTTCGTCATGCAGGAACTCCACAACATAAACATTATACCATCTGCTGGTCCCAGAAAATAAATCATTTTAAAGAAAATTTTAAAGTGGACTTCTTCCCTTAAATAAAATAATGGGAGAAAAACTATTAACTTAATGTTGAAATGTACCAGTTAATGAAGTTTATTTGAGGGACCAGCAGTTGGCGTAATGGCTATGTCGCTGGACTCCCATGTAGTCAACCGTGGTTCGAGTTCCAGACCCGGTGGCTTAAACTCATGCCAGGCACGTGTGCGTGCATGCCCAGGATCCCGAGAGGAGAATGGAGGAGAAGAGATTGCGGCATGGCCATCCCCCCGGGAGTGATTTCTCACTTTCTATCTCTCTGTCTCTCTCTGTCTGTCCAGCAAGTGCATGTGCCCTATAGCAAAAACCTCTCCAAAAAAAATATGTATATAATTTGTCATTTTTTCCTAGTGGACGCATAAACTATGAACTAGTGTATAGGGGAATAGGATAACATTTAGGTGAAAAGGGAGTGTAACCACACGTGGCCGATAGCGTGTCATTCTACAGACGTCCTTGTTTCCCCCTATCCTTTCCCTAAGAAGAGCTGCACAATCTCTTGTCAGATATTAAAGTACTGCTCAAAATTTAATCCTTTAGCGCATTTTATCAGCATTTTAAATTTTTGTTTCAAAAATATTTCTGTGCATTTGAGAAACTTCTGCCCCCTCCCTCATTCCGTTTACCTCCAATGACCTCATTCACTTTTCTAGTCCCCATATTTCCTTTCATGCTCCCAGACTGAAGTAGGAAAGGGATAGGAAACTACAGCCTGGTCATTGGAACAAGTGAGTCCACACATTTCTAAATGGTAGTTTTCAGATATGTACTATTTTATTACACAGGAAAGTTCTTCAATATACTAACATCTGATGAAGCTAATCTTTCTAGAAAAGCCTTAGAATATTTCTTAGCTTCTTTTTAAAAAAAATGTTAGAGGGCATGTGCACTCACGAGAGAGAGAGAGAGAGAGAGAAAGTAATCTCCAGTGGATGTGACCATGCAGCAGTCTGTCTAGTCAGGATTTGAGGCATACAAGCTAATGTGCCCAGCCTGTTTATCGGGCCACACTTGCAGGTATTTGAACCATGATCAGATCTGTGAGATCAGACTCCAAGGCACGGTTCTCAACTGCTGCACCACTGGGTTGGACTTCTTCTTTTTTTTTTTAACAAAAACGTAAATTATCTTTCATAACAGGAACATTTCAAGGACCATGAGGGATTGCAATTCCTCTTTTATTAAATATTTTTAGTAGAGATAAATATACTGGACCAGGTGGTGACGCGATAGTAGTGCAACTGGAGCCATGCAGGAAAGGCCCTGGGTATGCCTGGTGCATGCGTGTGCATGTGATCCAGGTCAGCTGAGTCTCGGGTTAGACTGCAGCATGAGGACCAGTTGAGGGTCCTTGTCTGTCTGTCTGTCTATCTGTCTCTGTCTTCTTCTCTCATGGAAGGAATAAATAAACTTTAAAATTTCTCAAATTATATCCTGATTTTGCCCTATAATTATTTTTAATGGCATAATATTGGTTTATATAAAATAAATTGGAATTTTACTATGATTGTTTTAAATTGGACACTATTTTCTTATATGCTACAGATATCAGCCCTCCAGCACAAGGTGTGGACCACAGACAAGTACAGAAAGAGCTGGGAGATGTCATTGTTCGTCTTCACACTCCAGTTGTATTGACTTCCACCACAGTTCAGGTCACGTGGACGGTGAGTTTTCCAAGGCTACTTCAATGGTAGTCTCTTTTGTTCTTCTAAAGAAAAAAAAAAAGAGAGAGAGAACATGCAAATAAACAACCACTTCAAATAAATCCTCACTGTTTAAAATCAAGCTGTATAAGAACCAATAGCAATAAAGGAAAAGATTCAGTAGGTAAAGGATGAAATAGAATACTAGAATGGAAATAGATTGCAATGTAAACATGACATGCAGGTTCCATCTTTTAAATTTTCTAACAACTTAATTGAGATTCAACATAGCATAATTAAAGGGACAACTCAGTGTTGTTTTTATACTTTGAAATCTTTACGAACATCTAGTTTTAGAACATTCAATAATCTCCAAAATGAAATCATGTGCCCATTAGCAGTCACTCCACCATTCTCCCACTTAGCCCTACACAACTACTAATCTAGTCTTTGTTGCTGGAGACTTGCCTATTCTGGACCTTTTATGGGAGTGGGATCATGCAGTTTACAGTGTTTTATGACTGGCTATTTTCATCGGGCATAATGTATTTGCGTTCTTCCATATTAGAGCATGTATTAATATTCCGTTCTTTTTTGTTGCCATAGTTTTCATTGTCTATAGGTATCTCATTCTGTTTCTCTATACATCAGTTGGTGGGCATTAGGTTGTTTTTATTTTGGGCTCTTATGGATAATACTGCCATGAATATTTGTGTAAAAGTCTTTGTGTGGAAATATGTATGTGTTTGGTATATTCATAGGAATTGTTGAATAGTATAACTCTCTTCATATTTGATGGACTGCCAGAGTGTTTTCCAAAGTGGTTATATTATTTTGTATTACTACTGGCAATGTTCTAATGTTCCAACTTTTTCCAAATTCTTGCCAATTTCTCTTACATCTTTGTCAACTGCCAATTATCTGTCATTTTATTTATTTATTTTTATTGTTTTGGAGAGGTTTTTGCTATAGGGCACATGCACTTGCCAAAAAGAGAAAGAGAGACAGTGAGACAGAAAGTGCAAAATCATCCCCCAAGGGGGATGGCCACACCACAATTCCTTCTCCTCCATTCTGCTCTTGGGATTTTGGCACACATGCACACACATCTGGCATGAGTTTAAGCCACCAAAACTTGAAATGTACTCAACTACATGTGAGTCCAGCGACATAGCTGTTAGGCTATCTATTGGTACCATCTGTCATTTTAAATACAACAATTCTAGTGGTTGTGAAATTGTATGTCTTTACAGTCTTGATGTTCATCTCTTTCTTTTTTTTTTTTTGGGGGGGGGGGGATTTCA